GAGCGCTACAGTTACAATAATAGACAAAATTTACGGACTGGCGTTATATTTCAAATAAACTCCTTACAGTTTTATCTGCAAACACTCATTTTTTTGAAATGCACCAAAACCTAGCATATAACAGGCATGTAAATAAAAACCAGAGCTCCTTAGAAATCTAAAGACACATTTATCAAGGCAAAAGAATAAAACAACCAGTTGCAGAAATTAAGATAACTCTAAACCTAACATTTTTAGGAACTTCAGACTCATTCTTGGAATGCACCCTGTGAATCAAGTCTATGAACAAAACAGGGAAAAACAAGTAAGATACTATTAACCTCATCCAATATTCTCTGTTTAATGATATCTTCAAGCTGAAAAGTAGTTTCTTCCGTGATCACAGGTGCTAAGAGGAGAAAGAGAAGAATTTTAAGATTAATGTTTCTCCAGCAAGAAATACTTTTTGTTCTTTGAAGAATAAAAAACAGAAAAAGAAAATAAAGCTTTCACAAAAATGTGGTAATTGAAGTAAGTAAATAATGTTTTCCTCTATCTTGAAGAGACTAATCATATTACGTAAGACTTGTAAATTACTAAATCTTCCACTGAATTAATAAACTTGCAGTTAAGTTAAAACTGAACAAAAACACTATAGTTTCCTGCAGTTTCCACCATGAAAATGCACAACCTCAAAAACACACCGGGAAGTTTAACTTAGTGTTTTGTTACCTTGCTCCTGAGTCACAGGTGTTTTCAGCAAGGTCAAGGGAAGAAAACCCAACATTGTATGCAACACACTTTCAGGAAAGCCCTCTCACTACTTTACCCATTCGGACTGCATGGTCAAAAAGTACTGTTTCCTCCAAAAGGCTGTTTTCAGGGCGTTTTTGTCCAGTCACTTCTCCTTTAAGCTGCCAAGGTTTCTCCTCCAACAACTCTTCTTCTAAACTTCTTATTTTTTTGCTCATCTGAAAAACACAATTTCCTAAGAAGTCTAAAACACAGAGCTCACAAGTAAACTCAAGGGAAAAAATTAGTAGTTATTTCAGGTACTTCTAACTCCTCCTCACATGAAGAAGAGGGAATATATGATTGCATATGTATCTGATATAGATAAACCACTTTTTTTTTCCTAATTTGTAAACAGCCTCTTCATATTTGCCAGACTCTGAACAAATTACACAATCATAAAAACAAAACAAAAAAAAATTGGCCACTGTTTCAAAGTATTAGCAAAATAATAATAAAAAAATACAATTACCTTTTCCTGCCTCTTCTCAAAAGACGACTTTATTTCACTGGGATCAATGCCCTTCTCTAACTGCACATCAGTAACATCTTCTGTTTCGCTGTCATCTGGCAAACTAAAAGTAACTTTTTTAGAGGCTTCTTTACTTCTCATATTCTCCATCATCATTTCATTCATATCCTCAACCCTGTAACATTAAAATTTAATATAAGATAAAGGTTGAAAAGCCTCTGTAACTTTTTACATTAAGATATTTCAGCCACTAGATGTTTACCTGTTACAAATAACCCAAAATTAAGAAATACAACAGGCTTTTACCGAAACCTAAAGGCAGGGGACACTAGGGAAACTTCCATATACTAAAAATAACTTTCAAAAACTGAAGTTACAGCTATTAAATGATTTATTCAAATAAATATCAAGAGACAATACTCAAAAGATATGACAATAAACTACTTTTTAAATAAGGTGAGAATACAAACCATGGACACACAACAGATAACACAGAATGGCAAACCATGACCAAAGTGAGCCTGGAATTCACACTTTATTTTCTACTTCACTTCAGTGTAAAATTACAAGGACATTTTAACTGCAAATAATGCATATACTTACTCAGACATGCTTTCTTCATTCTGCTCTTCAATAGCACTGTCTGCTTCCTCTTCCTGATCATCTTCAACACCATTAGCTACTAAATCATCATTGTCATCAACCGGATCAAAGAAATCTTTGTATGTCAAGTCTCTAGAACTTTTAACTGGCTAAGAAGGAGAGAGGAAAAAAGAAAACCCAAACGAAAAAAACAAAACAAAGCAAAACTGTTAAGGCTGCCAGAAGTCTAAGAGTATCCTGTCTTTTAAAGTTTTTAGCACCTGGGAAACAGCACTACTTGTGTAACAGTAATTCAGCTTAATGAAGCATTAACCTATGATAGGGCATCTTAGTAAAACTAACCTCTTTTACAAGTATTTTAAATATTCAACTACTTAAATTAACTTCCAATTTCACCATATACAGAAGTGAAAGAACAGTAGATTTTGCCAACTACTTGTTGGAATGCATACATGTTCCCTTTTACCCTGGGCATAGTTCTTACTTGCTAGTAAGAATCTCTGGTAATATTAAATAATAAAATATTTATTTCTGAAACAAGTACTCAGCAACTTAAGTTAAATCGGAGTTACAAAGCCATGTCCCTGGAAAAAGAAGTTGCCAAAAGCCCTTTGCCTTGCATCAGTCACCTTAGGGATCTCTAATTACCAGATGTCAATACTGAATGACCCATTTTTTTCATTTGGTGGGTCACCTATTCTGCAATTCTGCAAGGTCACTTATTTCTTGTGACACACTATCTCTTCCTTTATGCATGCAAAAACCCAAGACCCATCTAAAGAGAGACTGGAATAGCTTCCGAAGTAATCATTAGTCATCTAATCAAATTTAACTTGGTAGTTTCTACTCACTGTTCAACAATTTATAGTCACCCTAACTAATATCAGATCTTGATTTAAAGGAAAAGAGAGATCAGAAAATTAATTTACTGATATACTTACTTTGACTTTAGCTTCTTCAGACTCTTCCTCCTCATCATCCGAGACGATGTCTTCAAAATAATCAATATCTTCTTCCTCCTCCCTGTTTTCCTTCTCTGCATGTTCTAAAAAAGTTTCCATCTCAGACAGCTTGAAAAACTTGTCATCCACTATAGATTTTTTTCCCATTTTTTTCAGTGTGGTTTCCTTGGTTGTTTTAGTTTGTTGCTCCAGTGCTTCAATATCAAAGTCAATATCAGAATCCTCATCACTGTATTTCTGCATTATGCTTTCTCTGAGTTTACTTTGCTTTTCTTTAGCTTTAGTTTTATCTTGTGTATAAATATTCTTCTGTTCAGCTTCTGCTTCCATAATGCTGTCTTCCAATTCCTGGTCACTGCTGGCCTCTGCATCAGAGCCATCCTCTTCCTGGTCTGAGAGAAGGCAAAGATCTTCATCCTTGGCATCCCTTGCAATGGATTTCTTGAAAAAATCAAGAACTGCATTGTTCTGGAGCTCTAGTTGTTGCCAAATCTGTTCTTCATCAAAATTTTCTATCACCAGCTCTTTTAAAGGACCCCCCCGAACTATATTGCTTCCCAGAGCTTTATTCAAATCATAGAGAATCTTTGTTAATGCTCTGAAGTCAGTTGCCAGTCCATCTTGCACACTAAGAGTAGAAAAAAATTAAGAGCTTTAAAAAGCACAACAGTTAATGTTAATTTTTTATTTTCTATTTTGCAGAATTCACTAGCTTTCATTCATTTTACACCTCCCGTTAAGTTATTCACATGGTCACACTGTGGCTCTCTTTTTACATGTGCTTAGGTATTTTGATGCTACAGAGTAGCACCTTTCAGCAACTACAGCTGTTGCTTAACTTTCTACACATCTCTTGGGAGTAATGTTACTAAACATTCCTAGAACTAAAAACATTGTAATCATAAAGTGTCTCGGCTTCATTACACTTAATGTATGAAGCAGCAGCTGGACAGAACATTCCACCCTTCTATAGTTGCATCTTAGTATATCTTGATCGTATTTAAGCACTCCAGACGTTTTAGGAAAGTATATAGTATAGCACCAGACAGCTCAAACATCCAAGATACAGACCCTTGGTTTTAAAAAGGTGCCTTCCTCCACTGCCTTACTCCTCAGCTTTTCTATTTGGGTAGTCTCCTCCACTTTTTTCTCTAGAGCTACCACTGCTTCAACGTTGCTGGCAGAAACGGAAACCTCCGTTTCCTAATTCCCGAACGCTGAAGAAAGGACTAGGCCACTGCAGAAGCCCCAGCCAGGTCCGGACGCTGTGAACAGCGCGTTTCAGGAGAGCTCTGCGGAACCGCCGGTAGCTGAGGGGCGCCGGCCGGCTGCCACGAGACCTCCCTCCCAGAGCACTGAGGCCCGCACGAACTGCAGAGCGCTACGTCCGCGCACCCACACCCGGTGTCCGGCATCGGGGGGGCTCCCGGGAAGCCCGCAGTACCTGAGGAAGCGCTCCGGGCGCGCCGCGGCGGCGCCCGCCACCCTGAGGCACGTCTCCAGCCCCTTGACCGCCGCCATCTTCCCCCTTCCGCTCCCGCGGCGCGTGGAGCAGCCTGGCACCGCCTCCCCGAGGCGGCCGGCTGAGCGGTCCGGACGACTCCCGCGGCCGGCGCCGAGGTTCCGCACACAGGAGTTCCGCCCCGCCCCGCCCCGCTTTACACCCGGAGCGGCGGGGGGGCGGGCCGGGCCGGGCCGGCCCGGCCCGCCTCCCGAGCCAAAAGCAGTTCTGCTTCCCAGCGCGTGCTTTTGTCACCGAACCGCCTCGCTTATTCGCCTTCAGGTGGGCCTGCTCGCGCTCGCACTGAGCCGGAAGCAGGGCATTGCAGAGTCATCTGCTGATGGCGGCTGCTTCCGCCCCGTGGAAGAGCGTGGGATTGCTCTAGATGGGGACGTTCATCGGCGCTGAAAAACCTGCTCTAAATATAGTAAAGCTACAGTCATCTTACTTCGCAGTTTTGCCTCTCTGACCTAGATACAAGGGCTATTTTGGAACCACACATTTCCAGCTGATCCTGTCAGCAAAATGCCCAATGTTACCTGGTGTCTCCAAGCTCCCGGCTAACTAGGCACGCATTCACGCGCCTACGCCATTAGCTAGCGCTGCACAGTATTCGTCAACTGTTTTGTTGCTTTACATCACATAGTTTCCTTAAAGTTTATAAAACAAAGTCAAAATAAGCACTACACCCATGGACCCTGGTGAAGAAGCTGCTGCACCTGGGGGAGATGATCCATTCCTCCTCCATGCTGCAAAATGCGCTTTGCAGGGGCTGCCCCCTCGGGCTGCATTCACCCTGCCTGCTGCCGTTCCCCGCCTTCCGCAGCCGTTCAGCACCTGGATCCAAAACGGTGACCAACCTTCCAACTCTGTTCTTGCTATTGCCTCTGCTGCTCCTCTGCCACTTTCATGTTTCCTTTCGATCAAAAAAAAGTCTTTCCAGTGCGCAGAAAACAAAGCCCTGCTAGGCAACTTCTGTGTGTCCTCTCACTGTCACTTTGCACCCTCGAATAACCACTGTGTAGAGAAGGGCCCAGCCAGCAGAGGCACGAGTATGGCCTGCACCTGTCCTTCTCTCTCTGAACATCATAAACATATCTGACGCTTTACAACCTGGGTTGGAAGCTGAAAGTGTCATATTTTTTTCTCCTTCTGGAGAAAAGGAGGCTGAGGGGACACCTTATAACTCTCTACAGCTACCTGAAGGAGGGCTGTAGTGAGGTGGGTGCTGGTCTCTTCTGTCAGGTGGCTGGTGACAGGACGAGAGGAAACGGCCTCAAGTTGCGGCAAGGGAGATTTAGGTTGGACATTAGGAAAAATTTATTTACAGAGAGGGTCGTCAGACATTGGAATAGGCTGCCCAGGGAAGCGGTTGAGTCACCATCCCTGGAAGTATTCAAAAGAGCGTAGACAAGGCACTTCAGGACATGGTTTAGTGGGCACGGATGATGGTTGGACTCGATGATCTTGAAGGTCTTTTCCAACCTAAATGATTCTATGATTCTCTATATTGGGACTTCTAAACACCCATTTAGACCACTGATTTTGACCTGCACTTTTAATTATTCAGCTAGTATCCGATTTGAAATGGCACGAGCTGTTTATATATTTAGGATGTATCCCACCAACTTGCCATGTCCCGTGCCCCTGACACAACAGGAACGCAGCACCAGAAGACAGCCTGCTCATTGTCTCATTGGCACAATTCTTTAGTCAGAAAACTTTCTCTCTCTACAGATGTCCCTTGCTATAGCTGGCCCCTTTTGCACTTGCTTTTTCCAGATAAATGCAGTGCCCAGAGCTGCCCCCGCAGAGGCGAGCAGCATGCACCGGCACGGCTGAGGCGCGCCGCACAGCCGCCTCCCCGCAGTCAGCCGCAGCCTTCAGCTCCCAGGCGGCCGGCCCGGTGCCAGCGGCCGTAGCGCCCGCCCCTGCCCGGGGGAGCTCTGTCCTTCTGGGAAAGGCACCGGGCAGCTGCGCCCGCCCGCCCGCCCCAGCGAGGGGTCACCAGCCCCTCGGCGTGACACAGCCATTGCCGCTGCCTCGTCCCGAGACGCTCCGCTGGCGCCGGTCCCGCAAACACAGCCCCGCCCCGCGCTGTCACCGCGCCGAAGGGCTCCCGGCCC